TCGATCAAATGTAGTAGTGACTCGTAAGCAAACATTTTAACCCTATTAATATTTTGACTGTATCTCTGCTGTACACTTTTAATGACTTTTTTACTGTGAAGTCCTTTACTGTTACTATATGTCTGTGAAAAGCTCAGCAACTTACAACTGTGAGATAGTCTATACAGTTGGGGCCCACCTATATTCAGTTTAGCCATAGTTCTGGCATGTTAACATTGTCCTATTGTTTCCAGACTGGCAGTTAGCGTCCATGTGAAAGATGCTATTATATCATTGAGCGGACCAATCAATAGTCTCACAGTCTGAATAATGAATGGACTCTAGAGTGGAGGGCTGCACCGCACTGTGGCATTTACAGCACTTAATATGATTGAAGCTATTTGATCATAACAAATCATACTAATTACTGGGCAGAAGAGTGCATTTTAATGATAGTGCAATTACTCCTACATTAAGCCATAAAATTCATTAAATGTGGGTGACAATTTTATATGTTTATAATTTTGCAGACAGGTGGCATGGCCCTTTAATTAGTTTAGTAAAATGTATTGTAATTATTTGTACAGTTTTTGAGACGCAAACTAAAACATGTGATTCATGACATTGCCCTAACCTTCTTACGTAATATTAATTTGAGTGATTCTATGTGATCTGTGCACTCTGACCCTTTGTTATGCAATAATGTATTTGTCATACGTTGCAGCTAGCTAAACTAAGCAATACTGTTCTATGTTTACAGTTAACATAACATTATAGGGGGATGTTAGCTTAATTATGTTATGACTGTATTCATCGTCTATTTTAAGTGTATATGTGCATTGTAAATTCTATGGAGTAAGCTTTACTTGCAGGCTGAAACGTATTTTATTTTACTTTATAACATATTAACAGAACAGATGAAGAAATTCCAGTTGTTGCAAGTTACAAGTTCCGTTACTGATTACCACATTATTAAAACACATTTACAATCGTTCTATAATTATCTTCTTGTCTTCACGCTTGTTTTGCGTGAGACAGTATTAGCTCTTATGTGTTTTCATCCTTTTTTTAGACCTGGTTCTGTTCTGGTCTAGCCCTCATTTATTTCCAAGTTTTAAAAATTATGTATTTAAAACATGAAAATATGTAAGTAAGTTATAAAATGTATAATTAATACTATAAATTGCATAGAAGATCTTTCAGAACTTTGAAAGTGACAAAAATGCACACCTTTGCCATTGTAAGTATACTGCAAATCATAGTAATATATTTTTTAAGTGCTCAAAAGTCCTCAAAATGGCACCTAACATTTCTCAATAACATTTGGGGCTGTCATCGTTTAAAGTGGTGGACTAAAGACATGACTTCCCAATCAATGAATCAACTTCATGCAAAAATAAATGTATGAAGAAAAAAAGTACTAGACTTAATTTATGAATCATGATTTTAATCTGCCTTTTTAGATATAAATATTATATCTTCAGAAAATTAACTCACTAACTTACCCTTTCTGCTGTTGTCCCATATAAATCCTTGTAATCTAAATAAAATGATTCATCGACACTAAAAAATACAAATTTTCATCAACTAAGATCCCATTGTCCGCTTAATCCACTAATCGATAGGGGTGTAACGATATCCAAATCTCACAATATGATATCGTCACGGTATTTATTGCGATATTGTGGTAAAGCTCACGATATGGTGGGGAGGCTCACAATTAGGAATGTAACGACATCCATTTCACGGTACGATATTTATTGTGTGAATAATTTATTGTGTGAATCTGCTACTTTTTGCTCTTAAAATGCCTTGACAAGACTTAATCCAAATAACTAAGACTTAAAAGTGCTTAGAACTGTTATTTCTATTATCTATTATAGTCTACTCTGAAATGGAGCAAAGGATCATGGTCAGTGTAGTTCCCTTTGTCTTGTTTTTAGCTATTGCTGCACCATAACTCTTAATTTAAGCAAAGAGACATGTAATTTGATATATTGTGATGGTCCACGATATTATTGTGAGAACTTTGACGATACGATGTCACAATATTTTTGTTATTGGTTGATTGTTGCATCTCTTCTAATCGACTGTTCAACTAAAGGAGCACAGTGCTATTTCCAACCCAATTCCCAACATGCACTTATATGAGACTGCTTAGGTTTAGACAAAACCATATGGTCATGTTGTTAGATTTATGAATTAAGCAGAGTCACATATCAGCGCTGTGTATGTGTGTGTCCGATGAGCTCACTGGCTTAACTACAATAGCGCTCAAGGCTAACAGATGGCTAACGGGTGGCCCATCTCCCCTCATCCAGATCTTCTTTATAGCACCCAAGTTCACTTTCACTCCCTCGCCTTGCCTTTGTGGAGAGTGTCTGATAGGAAAGAGATTGTGTTCAGAACATTCTATAGCGATTCAAGGGCACAGTAATAGATAAGAATCCTGGTTTTGATCTTTTTTATGGTAAAATTATGTATATTAACTGGGTCTATAATGTAATCTACATGAATAAAAAATTGACAAAAAGTTCAACAAATTCATTATCAGTGAAGACTTTTTATTTTGATTTTACTTTCAGAAAATTTGGTGTTGTGGAGTTTTGTTTCATTCATGTTTGTTTCATTTAGACCTTCTGATTTTCAAGCGATAACATTGTTCTGTTTCTCTTGCTGATGGGGCATCCTTTGTGTGCTCCTTTTGAAGTTTTTAACTAAAAAAAAAACAGTGGGATGCTCTGGATTCACGAGGAATAACTGGACTATTGAAAACCGCTTAAAATGAACTAGTTATGCTTTTCACATTTTTAAGACAGTAAAAATCAGGTACAGTGCCTTTAACGCAACAAATCTTGCTTGTTTTCTATTCTAAGTCCATTTATATTTTTAAAGTGATGTTTATGAAAAAATATCTATTTTCTGTTGTCCATACAATAAACGTGATACTAATTCCAAAATCATTTCAAAATACCACACAAGGAACACACAAAATCTAAGCTTCAAGGAGGAAAAACACTACAAACACAGTATCTTACAGCGCAGTCACATGTTTACCTACCAGCATTGCTTTTTTCCCTTCATGGTTGCCATGGCAACAGAAGCTGGCTGTATGTGTACGTGTGACAGGGGATGTAATTCTGCCTGTCACCGCCGGAGCCTCGGCAGCCTTCCCCAGATGCTGGTTGCTAGGAAACCAGACAGACAAATCTTCCCCTGCTTCAATGACAAACCCTTTCTCTGGTCAAATACTGGAGCGGAGGAGGGCACGCGCAATTTGAAGGTCTGGATTTGTGACCAGAGGGTGCTGTTCTGTCTAAAGTGTGAAATAGTAATGACATAGCTGTGTACTAGTGTTCTCACAATACCACAATTTCAAACTCGACTTCAATACAAAGGAATTGACTCACTATTAGTTCCAATACCATGATGACAAAAAACAAGTTGTAAAAAAAAAAGTTATATGTTCTATAGTGGTCCCTGAGCGTATACTAGTCTGTGTGTACTTTTTCTGATACAGGTCAAGATCATTCTGTCCTGTGAATGTGATTTTATTATTGATTGGGGTGTAACGGTATCCAAGTCTCACGCTATGATATTGTCACGGTATGAACCTCACTGTACGATATTTATTGCGATATCGCGGGATAGCGTCACGATATGGTGGGGAGGCTCGCAATTAGGGATATAACAATATCGAAATCTCTCTGTATAATATTTTCACAATATACATCTCACTGTAATATTTATTGCAATATGTTGTAGAGGCTATATGATACGTTCTCCTCTTAAAATGCCTTGACAAAACTTAATCCAAAGAACTAAGACTTAAAAGTGCTTAGAACTGTTATTTTTTTACGTAGTCTACACTGAAATGGAGCAAAGGATCATGGTCTATGTAGTACCCTCTGTCTTAGCTATTGCTGCACCATAACTCTTAATTTAAGCAAAGAGTCTTCTAATCCGATATACAGTGATATTATTGTGAGAACTTTGATGTTACGATATCATGATATTTCGGTTATTGTTACATCCCTAGTATTCTCCTCAAACAAGTATCTAGTTTTAGTATCGATTAGTGTCCATTTTTTGATACTTTTGACAGCTCTACTGTGTGCTCAAATGGAAACGATTGCAGAGAACTAAACCAGGACTAGTACAGGGCCAAATCAAGCCTCCATTAGAACTGAACTTCACTCAAACCAGAAAAATGACTGACAGTATACAGCGCTAGTAGCAAAAATCAACCTCTGGGTTTTTTAGGAGGCTGGTGAACTGTTAAAAAGCTGTTGATGTTGTGTCCTCGGGCAAGACACTTCACCCAAACTGTCTGTAGAAGAATGTTGTGTGTGCATGATACAGCCAGTGAAGCAATAAGGCATTAAAGGTGCATTATGTAACTTTTCTGCTAAGGGGTCTGCCATATGCTTGTCTACATACGTTTGTTCACTGATCCGAAGGTTGGCGGTTCGAATCCCGCTCTCGACATAAACATCACTGGTTGAGCGGTCGAATCCACTGATCCACAGGTTGGCTTGTGTGATTCCAGCTCCCACAGATGATTGCTGTTGTTGTGTCCTTGGGCAAGACACTTAACCCACCTCGCCCTCAGTGTCTGCGTACATTGGTGTATGAATGGGTGTGTTAATGGCTGAGTGGTTCCTTGTTGTAAAGCGCTTTGAGTGCCTTGAAGGTGAAAAAGCGTTGCCTGAAATGTTCCGACATATGGAATTTAGCTCATCTATCTTTTTTTTTTTTGTTGTTTTTGAAGTGTTTGGAAAAAAATGAAATAAAATGAATACAGTACATTGAAAAACATGCATTGTTACTGTGCTCTGGCTCGCTTCTCCACAGATCTAACCTGTAACTTGGCTTCATGAAGGTAGAAGTTAAATGCCTTGCTGTGAAACTTTCCAAGCCAAACATCTCCATAGAGGTGTTGTTATTATGAAGTGTTACCAAATAAAATGAAATAAAAAGCGTGTTATAATACAATCATTTCTCTTTTACTCTTTTCTTAGGTGATTGGAGATGACGGAGGTGGAGCCCGTTCTAGACTTCGCCTCTTCGGGCCGATCAGGGAGGAGGAACGCCCTGCCCGACATCCTGGGCTCCCCCGCTGGAGTCAACCCGGGCGACCTGCCACTCAAACTGGGCGAGCTGTCCCTCCAAGGTACCACACAACCACAGTCTTTATGTAGTCCAGTGCTTTTATAAGGTGCTGCAGGGAGCTCTGAACTATCAAAATGTCAAAGTATTAAAGCTAGACTGCAAGCTGTTGAAAATGTGGAGCAACTTGTACGTGATTTAAGAAGGTATAAAACGTATTATGGGTAGAGAAATATAGTTTGGGCGCGTCTATGGGGAGAAGTGAATGAAATCTAGAGCGATATAGCAGCTTGTGGGTGAAAATAAATCTGATCTGTCTCTTAAAATGTAACTGCAACAATACAGCGTTTGGACAAATGAACTACCAGATTATACTGAATAGAGAAAGCTAACTGCAGCACTAGTGTCAGAAGAGCACTTAGCAGGGTGACATAGCTAAAAACTCATTTACCAGTATCTTTTTTCCTAATGTAGGAACAAAATGGTCAAATGGGTACTTCACCGGCACTCAGAAGGCACTCAAAAAATGTTGACCTTATTTCTATTTTATTATTTTTGGAAGTCAATAAAAGCTCGCCAGACTTGCCCAAACTGAATTCACTACACGGCAAACCAACTACATTCCTCACAGCTTTTGTTTTTAGCTTGACTTGAACTGATTTAGGGCTCATTATGTTATCTGAAATTTAAGTAATAGTTGTGGGCTAGAAAGGGCATCTGACAGAAAAGACCGATTCACCACAGAGAAGGAAAGAAATATTTTAAAAAGTAAAATTAAATCGACTGTTTTGTCATTGTAACAACAATGCACTTTTTATCCACTGGTTTCAGAATAACAAAAAATTTATGCCATACTGATGAACAATTTAAAACAAAATATTATATCTTTTGAATGGGAAAAATCCTCAAAATGTTGGATATAAACAGAAGTTGAAACCTGTAAATGTGTAGTAGCCCCATAAATCTTATCTTAAAGGTCCAGTTCTGGTGGAGATTACATCTGGATGTCTGTTATTGCTTTGCTTTGAATTTTCCACATTAAACTATTATTTATCTCTATGGGGACAAGCAGTTGGTGCCTCCAAGTTACCGTAAGAATTGTAAGAATACTTAAAGGTATTTTTCCAGCAATAAGGCAATACAAACCCTATTGTTAATATTGAAAAATACAAAATTGGTCACTGTATTGCCATACAGGGGAAAAAGAGTAATAATATATCAGTGGAGACATGCTGAAAAGTGACATGGTACAGCTTTTAATAGTATAAAATGCAATGTTCTTCTGGTTCTTCTTACACCTATAAATTCAGAAGGATGGACTACCAATTCACTATTTCCCATTGAGTCATTTAACTCAATAGAAAAAATCTTTCCAAGAAACAGACGCATTAGAGATACAAATGAGCTTAGTCAGTGCTGTCCAGATCTTTTATGTCATTTAAGGCCCTGTGACACTGTGCTACTGTGCAATATCAATCACTGTCCACAGACACAGCACGCCCACAGAGAGAAGATAAGGAAGCTCAACTGGAACTGTGCTGTGACAAGAATAGTCCGTTCAAAACACAAATCTATCTCAGAATTTAGATTTTTTTAATATGCATGTTTTAATTCATTCTCATTGCAACAGTCTGCACAGACATATCTGCTAAAAGTGTAATGATTTTTCACACTCTAGTATGGTAAAATAGTTTGACTGCTTTAATATATTTTTCAGTGCTTCCGGTGTATGTTTCCAGTAATATGTAGCATTGCTTTTTTTTTTTTATTGGAGTTCCAGAAAACAGTTTTATTGAGAATTTATATTCAACCCTTTTATTGTATTTGTAGTCCAGAAAACAGTTTGAAATGTTTCTGGATCTTATGCAATTCATATTAAACCCTGACCCTGTTGTTAAAAATAAGTTTAGTTTTGTTTTTGTTTTGTTTTTTTTCCAGTAGATCCATGTGAAACCTGCACCCCCTCCTCTCACTCAGCCTTTGTTCAGGCTCACTTGTGCTCTCTGATCTTCTTGTGTCAGGCCAAAGCTGGCACACTATCAGACAGCAGTAATACATACAGCACCTAGTGATGATATGTGAGAATACAACAGGAGCGGGTTGGCCAATCTAATTGTGGATTGGAAGCTTTAAGACCTTCAAACTTGTTCTGAGATTTCTCACATCTTGAGATTCTGATATTAGTTTTGGCAGTTCATATTTCAGCATGTTAATAGTGTTAATCCTGCACTGCACTACATCTTGACTTTTAGTATGAAACTGAATGATACTAAAGAATAGGCTAGATTTTTAATACCTGCTATTAGTATCTACATTTCAATACTTTTGACAACCCTACCTTTAATTAATTCTGTATCTCATTTTTATAAATTCACATGTAACCCATTTTACCCGTCACCATAACCTTCCTCCTCCATTCTCATGTCTGTGCAGATGGACCTGGAGGAGCCCAGTCCCCAGCGTCAGAGGAGGCCGGCGCCCCAGCGGAGAGCACCCAGGCCAAGGACGGATCGTAGTCCCCTGCCCTCCTCCTCGCCTGGACCCTCCCTTTCTCCTCGGGTACCCCCCACCTGAGCGGTTGTCAGTTCTATAGTTACAGAACATGGCTGGCATTCTGTGAGATGTTTGAACCACACGCTCCCATTGCCCTAGACGCTGGAGAGTTGGACAATAAAGTTCTGAGCCGGCAAGATCCAAAATGGCTGCCCTTGCCACCAGTCACCACTTGCCTGGGACTCGATGCAAAACAGATTGTACAATGAACTATTTTTCTATTATTTAAACACGTCGAGCTGCAACATGTTTCGATTTCCCTTGGGTCGTGTTCCACTATGTGATGTAACTATGCTTTTACAGGAGACTGCAGTGCTGCCCCTAGTGGCGTAATCAACCAGCTACCACTAACAAAATGACACTATGTTGGATTTAAATGTGTATTGTTGATCCTATTTTGTACTACCTGACTGTTGCTGTCTTAAAACCAGGGATTTTATGAATTTAGTAATGGCTGAAGATTAGTGCATATCTTGAGACATTCCTTTATTGAATATTCCACTGCCAGTTGTGTCAAAGTGAAAAAAGATCTGTCAAAGGTTATTTTAAAGGTCTAAAATGCGCAAAACTTTTTTTTTTATTTTTATGATAATGTTATAATGTTGTATCAGCACAAAATATACCCTAATTTGCATTTTGTTTGATTCCTTTTGAGTGATCCTTCACTACTTTGTAATGCCATCAGGTTGTAAACCAGGAAGTGCTACTCTTTGTTTTGAAAATCTGTATATGTTCATCAGACTTGTTTGGATCATGTCATCTCTCAAACTCTATTCAATACACAGCTAACCAACTTCTTCGCTAGCAGCTATTGTTTTTAGCTGAATTGAACTGCTTAAAGGCACTGTACCTGATTTATTCTTAAAAATGTGAAAAAGAAAAGAAACTAGTTCATTTTAAACAGTTTGCAGTGGTCCAAAGTCCAGAGTTTTGCCATCATGGTAAAGCTAACAACAGCTAGCATGGTAACGCGCACTTTATGATGATAAGACAATAAAAAGCTTTATGTTTAGGTGCAGACAGTATGCAGCAGACATATTTTGACCTCAGGAGCTGCTTATACAGTATATATTTACTGGTGCAAGATATGATTTTTCTCACACATGGACAAAATCGAGTACAGGGCCTTTAATTCCTCAGTGCACGAGCAGGTGGAGTTGCTGCACTCTCTGCTGATGTAAAATCATGTCAAAATGAGGAAAGTGTGGCCTTTAAGTTACTTTCCATACACTTTTTAATTTGAAATTATACAACACGAAATATCAAAGGCTATAAGGTATCCCAAAATATTTGAACTGTTCATAATGTTATACCTTTAAGATTTGTTTATTCCAAATTTGAAAAAATGTGCCTAGTGGCAGTTTACAATTGTGCGTGTAATTGTGTGAAGTACTGTTATTGACCTATTGAGGTTTAGAGATATCGCCTCACTGGTTAAAAATGCTTGTGGACATTTTTGTAATCACATTTGTTAAACATATTTGTTGACAGTTTCAAGTTGGAAGTAGCTTATGTCAATGATTTTGCGAACGTGGACATCAGGAAGTTAGCGAGTTATTTTTGTGAGGAATGACAAAAATGATGCACATAACAGCCAAATTTTGTCTATTGTAAATATGCTCTGTTGTGCTCAAACCCTTGTGTTTTACAGTGGCTAATATGTCTGTACGGAGTGTTCTTCACAATGCAAATTATGGCTGCCCATACTGCAGGTTGGTACTGTTATGGAGATGAGAGAGGAGGGTGTGTTTTTAGTGAATTCTAATGTAAGTGGTACATATATCTTACTGGATCGAATCCCTCTTGTTGATTCTATCTGGTGGTGGTAAATTGCCATAATAAACTGAAGCTTTATACAAGTCAGTATTGAATGTGTTTCTTTTGTTACACTAGATTATTTAATTCAAGTTTAAAAGATTCAAGCTATGGTGTAACGCAGCGATCTCCAACCTGTATTTGGGAGCTACCAGTAGCTTTCCACCCTTTTCCAAGTAGTTCCCCAAAGGGTTTTGGAATTGTACCATTGTGGTGAATAACAAAAATTTGGTTAACTACATGTTTATTACTGTAATGTATCATTTTGAAGCCCAACTTTGTGCACTTATAAATGGACAATGGTTTAGGTTCTATAAGCATCCAACTGTATCCAAAGGCTCGTCCTCTTTCTTATATTAGTCTCAATTTCTTGCAGCCACTAAAATGAGTAACTCTTTGGCATTTTTGTTTTGTAAAGGTAGCTCACCCGAGGAAAAAGGTTGGAGACCCCTGGTGTAATGCATAGATTCAACATTGAAGCTATGGTGTAAAGACGCACTATGTAACTTTTCTGGTGAAGGATCTGCAACATCTTTGTCTTCATGGAGATGTTATTGCTTTGTCTAGAATGTTCTACAGTATTAACATTTATTTAGCATGTTCAATTAGACATGTTTTTCATGCCAAAACATACCTTGAAACTTGCCTCAGATCTGGCCTGGTGGCATCATCTGCTTGTTTATTGAGATAAAAACATTGATTGGCATTGTGTGGAACATCTGGGCAAGAAGGTCAGTTACATAGTGCACCTTTAAATAGTAATAACAAAAACATTTCCAAAGCTTTAGAAACCACTTTTTCTCTCATTGCTTTTTAGCATAAAATTTTGTGAATTCTTAAACATCTATCACCCCAATTATCTACCACCATGCCTTTCATCTCATGACATTTGAAAAATCTATTTGGAAAATGAATGGCCTGTTTCAGGAATCAGAACTTCCTTTTAGCTCCTTGTTGGATTATGCTCCATAAATTATTCAATTATGAATAACTGCTTTAAAATAGAAACGAATGGGAATTTTTTTTAAGTATGCCAGCACCTGAGCTACTAATATTGCTGGCATTTTCTCACTGTGTCTGAGTGGGATTATAAGAATAAAGTACTCAATACTAGTACTATATAATAGAGTGATACATAACACATTTCTGATTCAGACATTCAGATTATACATACAAAAAATACCATTTAACAATGTAGGAGATTTAAAGGGCCCATATTATGCAATTTTCTGATCTGTTATAATGTTGTTTCTTCCTCATCACAAATATAGTTGTGTTTTGTTTCATTCACACATGTTTAACACACATCCTTCGCTCAAACTAAAAACACACATACAGGAAGTGCTCCAGTGTGTTTTTTTTTTAAATTCCATACACCTTTAATAAAATCATTTGGATAATTTCAGCACTGGAATTGCTTGGCTCTACTGATCAAACTCCAAAAGGTAGCTGTTAACTTGAAAACTACCATTAAATAACATCACAAGGTGGAACAGAGCATAATAATAAAGGATTACTCAAACATGTGTGAATCAAACAAAACACAACTCCAAGTATGCTTCTGATGCGGTAACAGCGTTCTAACATGGCTTAAAGCTCACAAGAGTCAGTTTTGCGTCATAGTTTATAGGATATTTAAATATAAATGTTCATGAACTTCAACAATTAATATATAAATAAAACACATTGTAGATTGTTTAATTCTCGCTAAACGCAAGTAAAAGCAGTTGTAGTAATAGTAGGGTGACCAGACGTCCCTATTGACCCATTTAGAGCCCTGTGTCCAATGTCCTAGCAGATTTATACAAAACCAGTAATTTGTCCCAGTTTTATACAAGAAATGTCCCACGGGACCCTATTTTTGACCAATTTGATCCCTGCCAACAGTAAAGAGAGGCATACATTGTCATTTGTGTAGGTAAAATACAGAAAAGTTGCTTAAAAATGATCAAAACACAACGAAAATGTGACTATCACGTGTTAGTCCTGAATAAATCATGAATGGGCCGAGTGCAGAACAGTTTTCTTTAATTATGCACTCGTTTCATAATTTTATCACTACCAACCACCAAACCGGGGGTGTCCCAGTTTTTCATTTTGAAAATATGTTCACACTAAGTACTAGAGTATTGTATAATATTGTCTGTAAAATTATAGACGTTGAAAAAGCACATCAGACACCATCATTCCTTGTTTTTGGCATGCAGCTGCCATCATAATATCTTTACTAGCGTGACAAATTGTTCTCTAATTGCCCTGAACACAACTTTTACGGCACAACCCGCTTGACAATGGAATTTTTATGCCCTACGCTCCCTGGACACAAATCATAACAATAACACGCTGCTGTTACGTAACCCTGCAGTTCCCGTTTGCCTCCAGCAGATGGCGGCGCAGACTCAATCATCATTCTTTGCACATATCGCCTTGGAGGGAGGGTTCTTTTGTTATGTCTGACACAAAGAAATATAGCTTAGATGTTTTTTTACGCTTTTAATATGGTTACATTGTTTTTTTAATTGGATTAGCATAGCAGAATTAACATTTTATGAATACGTGTGAGACATGCACGCGCCTAGGAATCAGTTTCGGAACCGTTTTAGCCAAGGGTTAGGATGTTATCTTTTGTGTCAATTATGTAACTATAGCATGAATTATTAATATTTTTGTTGTTGACTAAATTTGCTGTGAAAGTAAGGGGTAAATATGCAAAACACGTTGCTGCAATATGGTGCTCATTCGATTAGTGTTTTGGTGAAAAATGTCCCTGTCTCCTCCTTTACCCTGGACGCCGCTACGTAACTTGTTGCTAGGGTAACAAGGCACGAGAGGAGCTTGGTTCATGTAGGCTGTCACGGGTTTGAGATGATGTCATAATATGGTAGTTTTTGAGAAGAAGGGCAGGGTAAAATGTGTTTATTGTTCATTTGTAGTAGGTTTAGAGGTGGTGTTGGATAGATAATAAGACAAAATGAGAACATCAATTATTGGTTTTCAGAATCTTGGCTGTGTTGATGTCATCATCTCAAAAGGGGGTCAGGTGATAGCTTTTGTCTAGGGATCAAACTGCATTTTCATTTCACGGTATATATATTAAAAATGGAAAGAAACTAAATCAACTTATCAACAAAGATTGCTTAATGATTAACCCAAAATCTCATTCTTACTTTAATTATTTTGCTTATGCTCAACTCCATTAGCTAATACAATATAGGCCTATTGAATGTAGTGATTACCAGCAGTAAAAGTTGATTTGAATGGTTTGAAGCAGGGGTCTCCACAATGTTTTTTCCTCCAGTGAGCTACCTTTACAAAACTAAAATGCCAGAGCTACTGATTTGAGCGGTCAGAAGAAATTAAGAGCCACAGCCTTGGATAAGGAACAGTTAGAGGCCTATAAAACATGTACCATTATCCATTTATTAGTGCAGAAACTAAAGTTAGGCATGAAAATTATACATTTACAATTTTAATAGTCATTCTATTCATCAAATTTTAGTTAATTATAATGCAGAAATTCTTTGGCGAGTTACTTGGAAGGAGGTGGAGAGCTACTGGTGGCTCCCGAGCTAAAGATTGGAGACCCTTGATTTAATGTAACCTAAAAGAAATTCATCCTCTGCATTTGACTCATCCTTCATTGCTGCTGTGACAACCTGTCAGGAGCAGTAGTTACCGCACTGCTGCACCCAGGGTTATATCATTTTCAGAAAAATTATCAAAAACTTAACTTAAAGCTCAAATAACTTTCTTGCCAAAATAGAGAAAAAAGCATGTTTTTCATTATGGATGTTTTCATAGCGCTAGAAAAACATGTGTCTTTATGGTGAGCGGGATTGCATCTCTGCAAACCTGACTCTTATTTGGCCCTCCTCCAGCTAGTTTCCATTGAAATGTTGTTCCTTTAGCTATAACATTCTAGCCAGGCTGGTGCCACCTAGTGTCTCCGCTCAATTTCATTTCTCTCCAGCAACTAGGTCAGGAATCAAAATACAATAAATGGTTCACAAAAACCTCAGTGATGCGAGTCCAGGCACCAGCCAATCAGCGAAGAGTCATATATTCAGTGTTGTCAACGATTGCCGAGATCGAGGATTTAAAGCCAGAATAAAGAGAATGTTTGGTGAATTTCATCAAGGGGAAAGACTTTATTGTCCTTCTTCCTACAGGATTTGGGAAAAGCTTAATATACCAGTTAGCCCCATTAGCAACCCATTACATACATTACATCATGATCAAATAGCAGCAACTGGTTAAATGATAAAAAGTACCCGCCTACCGTCAAGTGAACTAAATCTAAGGCTGCGAGGTCAGACGGTTTGTACGAAGTGAAACGAAGTAAAACAAAGTAAAACTGGCTGATAAATCAGGCTAATTCCACAGTATGGCATAAAAGTATCTATCACCAGTATGTTTTTAACTTTCTATTACAATGGAATTATGGAGGTGACTTGCCACCCCCAGAAAATAACTATAGTACACATATTTCCTTACTACAGTAAAGTAAGTAATATACTCTCACTTTAAGGACACATGTTTTTCAGTGCAAAGAAAAAAAAAGAAATCAAACATGCTTTTATTTTCAGTTAAAAGGTTACGTGCTTTGGCTTTAAACAAAAACTCATGATTAAATCCAATCTTATAGGAAAGTGAATATGATTCTGTCTTTAGTTTTTCCAGCCTGGACCAAGTGTGAATGCTAGCTCTTTCTTTCTCCTTACATAATTGAACAGTGCGGTGTAGAGGCTGAGCTAATGTTGGCTTCCTTGAGGAAATTGTCGTGTAATCAGCTGACAGAGATGCACTGTGGTTGGCTTCACAGTGGGCTAACAAGCTAACGCTGTTATCGGTCGAAGCAAAGTGAATAAACGCTAGCCTTTAGCCACTCCAGCGCACTCTTCCTTTCAATATCTGCCTGCTCTGACTCTCAACTCTGATGGATGAGTATGTGCACTA